GAATTCAAGGTGTATTCATACGGAGTGACTGGTGGAAGAATGGATTTGGTCAATGCCAATCACTGTGCTTATATCTCAAAAAACAATGAAGCACATGGTGGGATTTTAAAAAGTAGAGCATGCTGGGCGGTGGTGGTACACACCTTTAATCCCAGCCCTTGGGAGGCAGAGAAGTCTCTGTGCGTTCAAGGCCAGCTTGGTCTACAAAGAGTTCCAGGACAGTCAGAGCTACATACAGAGAAAAAAACAAAACCAAAACCAAACAAGAGCATGGAACAGCCCCCCTTCTGTCCATTTGAAGCACAGAGGACACTGAGTGCTGTTTCTTGGGACTTAACATGTGCAGCATACAGCAGAGGCAGCATCAGTCTGGGAGGCCCCTGTGTGGGGTGGGGACAGAATTGTCCTAGCATGCTAGAAGCCGAGAAGACTGATGTCTCTCTCCAACATGTTTCAAGCATGAAACAGAAGAGGATGTTTTGTACTGTGGGGCTCTAGTAGGCTTTCTTGAACAAGGCATGGAGGAAAAAAAAATCAAGATTTGACAGCATCAAATTAGATATCAAGAAGTCTGTGGATGGTGAAACTGGGTAAACAAAGAACTGAGAACAGTGATGACATATGACAAAGGATCTCACCCTGCGATATAGAAGAAGCTCATATAAATCCATACAAAAAAGACAAGACAACCCAACAGAAAAATAGGCAAAGGCTGTGGTCAATTGATCCACAGGGAAAGGCACACCAGGAACCAGGGAGATTGAAAGGGGGTCAAGGTGAAGGGTCAGCAGCCCCAAGCAGAGACAGCCAGGAGTCAGAGAGGTGGCAGGAGATGGCTGGAGAGAGATGACAGGGACAGCAGGGGAGGGCTGCCTGCAGGGAGTGCAGCTGAATGGGTGGTAAGGGTGGGGCAGGGAAACCATGACCAGTCTGGGTTCTCAGGCTCTGGACAGCTGGGGGCCAGGTTCACACCAAAGGGGATGGACACTGACAACTGGCATAGCGACACCCTTTTCCCATTGCTGGCCTTTGAGGTGTGTATTAGAGAGGGGCTCTGAGCCCAAAAGGTGGCTATGCCCCACCCCCCACATACATACTAGGTCCTCAGTGTGGTCAGGTTTGGTCCAGCTTCCTTGCTTGGGGGAGGGGCATAGAGCAAAGGTGATTTTTGAATCCTGAAGTGACGGTGGTGGTACGCGCCTTTAATCCCAGCATTTGGGAGGCAGAGGCAGGCAGATTTCTGAGTTCGAGGCCAGCCTGGTCTACAGAGTGACCAGGACAGCCAGGGCTACACCGAGAAACCCTGTATCGAAAAAAACTAAATAAATAAATAAATAAATAAATAAATACATAAATAAATACATAAATAAAAGAATCCTGAAGTGAGGCCAGAGAGGCAAAGATGCCTAAAGTGGACACAGTCTCCAGTGCTTCTGGGAACCCAGAGAACCCTTTCTCCCAACCTAGGAATAATCCATCCCAGTGAGATCCATCATTTTGAGGGGTATTCTAGGGCCCTGTGTAGCCTGTGGCTATGGTCATTGCTGGGGCTAGTCCTGGTCTCATTCTCTCTCCTAGTTTTTGGATCCTGCCAGGGTTGGGGTATAATGGGATAGGAGTAACTGGTCCTCCAGCATTTCTGTTCTCCTCCACAGTACTTCTGGCTGCTGGTCCTGTCTCGAGGGCTAGTAGGTATTGGTGAAGCCAGCTACTCCACCATAGCACCCACTATCATCGGCGACTTGTTTACCAAGAACACACGCACACTGATGCTATCAGTCTTCTATTTTGCCATCCCCCTGGGCAGGTAAGTGTGGACTGACACGATTAGTGGGAAGAGCACCAAAGTCCCTTAGAATTCACTAACCCTGCTTTAAGCAGACATGGAAGCTGGCAGCTGTAGAGGACTCCTGGACCCGCTCTTCCACAGGCTGGCTGGGTGGGAGGAAAGCATGAACTTCCCACTCAGCCTAGCTGCTGGGTCTGACATGTGTCTATCTCATCTGCAGTGGCCTGGGCTATATCACAGGTTCCAGCGTGAAGCAGGCAGCCGGAGACTGGCATTGGGCCCTGCGGGTAAGGCCTAGGTCCCCTCCTGTGTAGCTCCTTACTCTAGTCTTCTCCTCCAGAGAACAGCCCTGCCCAGAGGCCAGGCTTTAACCTTTAGGCTTCCTCCCTCACTAGCCTGGGCTCTCGGTCTTAGGTCAGTTCAGGCTGAAGTATCGGGAGAGTTATACAGTCCTGTCATCCACAGGGCCTTAGCCCAGGGTTGGAACCCTCCCCCTCAACCCCCAGGAGTTGGAGAGAATGAGGATTCTCTCACCATGTCAGGAAATTCCAGGTCCACAGCACAGCTTCCTGCTTCCAGTGCTGGCTCTGTTCTAGGGCGAGGTTGGGATAGGACCTCTGTGTGGGGGCCCTTAGGGTCTGGAGCCACTTCCTGTTCTGTTGGAGGGTTGGGGCAAGTCACCAAGGCCCCAGGACAGTGCAATCGGAGGAAACAGAGATCCCCCGTCTCTCAGAGGAGCGGAAGCTCAAGACAAAGTGTTTTTTCCTCAAAAGCAGGAAGGAAGCAGCCACCGTGGAATTTCATAATGGGGAGAGGGGTTAGCCATAGGATGGGGCGGGATTGTATGCAGAAGAGTTCTCCAGCCTACAGGGAATCAAGCTTTTCTTTTCTCCTGGGCTGTGTAGAGAGAGGCTTGGGGGTTTCATTCTTAATGTGGGGCTGGACACAGGGAAGACCCATAGGGCCTGTAAAGAACAGGTCACCTGTCTGGTCAGTCCCTCCCTAACGTCACTATTTGAGGGACACACCTTGGAACATTCGTACCTACCCCAGGGATTAGGCAGATGGGTATATGGCTCTCTACGCCTACAGATGAATTCTTCCACTCAAAGATGTCACTCCCTACGCTTTTCATCTGCCTGCCTTTCTCTCCATATTGCCCATCTACCCATTCACTTACTTGTCCGTCCATCCATGCATGAGTGTGTCTATCTATCCATCTGTTTAGCCACCTCTCCCTCACTCACCTCCTTCCTTCTTCCTCTTTTTCTTCTTCTTCCTCTTCCTCCTTCTCCTCCTCCTCTTCTTCCTCCTTCTCCTCTTTTTTCCTCCTCCTTCCCTCCATCCCTGAAATCAATCTTCCCTTGAACTCATTTTCCTGTCCTGCCTTTGGTCTGGACTGTCCACTTTGAGCCCCCTAACATTTTCCCTGGCCTCATCCCCAGAGGCTTTGCTCAGCCGTTCTGTTACTCGGCAGGGCAGATATTATTAGCCTAGGAAAATGGCCTGGATTCCAGGTAAGTTGCCTGGGCCCTCCTATGCAGCATAAACAGCATTCAATCTTCACATCTCCCATCCTACCAGGTTTCCCCCGTCCTGGGCATGATCACAGGAACACTCATCCTCATCTTGGTCCCAGCCACTAAGAGAGGCCATGCTGATCAACTTGGGGGGCAGCTCAAAGCACGGACCTCCTGGCTCCGAGACATGAAGGCCCTGATCCGAAAGTGAGTGCTACCATGCATGGTGTGGTGGGAGGAGGTGTGGCTAGAGCCTAGAGCGTGCCCACCAACCCTCACCTGCCATCAACACTGCCTGTCTGCCTGTAGTGCTGAATGCCATTTTGGCCTGAGGTTATTGTTCCTGCGTCCTGAACCCTCAGCTGGGCCTGAGAAAGCATTTCTGTCTGGGGTGGGAGCAGGTAGCTGGCTGTAGGAGAAGAGGCTACCTCCTGGGTCTGGTGTAAGGGCTACCTGCTGCTCTAGCTCAGTTTCCCTCCCTGGATTCTCCCCAGCCGCAGTTATGTCTTCTCCTCCCTGGCCACGTCCGCTGTGTCCTTCGCCACAGGGGCCCTGGGCATGTGGATTCCCCTCTATCTTCACCGTGCTCAAGTTGTACAAAAGACAGCAGAGACTTGCAACAGCCCGCCCTGTGGAGCCAAAGACAGGTAAAGCCTGGACCCAAGAGACGGATGCCTCTGTCTCACCCTTGGCCTTGATCAAATCACGCTCTACTGTCTTTTGTCCCCACAGCCTCATCTTTGGGGCCATTACCTGCTTTACTGGCTTCCTGGGCGTAGTCACAGGCGCGGGAGCCACTCGTTGGTGTCGCCTGCGGACTCAACGTGCTGACCCATTGGTGTGTGCCGTGGGCATGCTGGGATCAGCCATCTTCATCTGCCTCATCTTTGTGGCTGCCAAGACTAGCATTGTGGGCGCTTATGTGAGTCCACAGAAGGTTGGGGGAGATGGGCTAGAGGTGCAGTCTGACTTGCTGGATCCTCTGTCCCCATAGGGAGGGTCCTGTGTCCCTGCCCTGTGCCCTTCATGGTTGCTTTCTTCTCTGTGAATAGATCTGCATTTTTGTTGGAGAGACACTGCTGTTTTCTAATTGGGCCATCACTGCAGACATCCTCATGGTAAGCCAGGAAGGCCACAGTCACCATGTGCTGACTGACTCAGGCTTCTATCTTTCATTGGGGTAACTTGAAAGGGTGGGTGCAGAGTAAGCAGCACTTGTTGGTGGGAGAGGTGAATCCAGAGGCAGGGAGGGGATCAGAGATATATAGGGGTCAGATCTGGGAGAGGCCTAGAAACAGAATTGAGCAGGTAGATATTGAGGTGCAGGGCAGGGTTGTCTCCAGTCTCAGGTTTGTGGCTAGGAGGCTGGTAGTGCCAGGCTGGCACTGAAGTGGTGCTGCCTGCCAGGACTCCTCCCCCAGCAGTTGAGTGTCCTTGCATTCTGCTTTGCCAGCTCAGGCTGGGTCCTAGCCTGGGTCCCAGGCGTGCCTGCCGAGTGCCTGCGGCTGGCTGGACAGACAGAGGCTGTCTTTACGGGTCCAACAATGGCCTCCAGACCAGCAGGCCAGGAACAAAGGGCTGTCTGAGCAGCCTGCTCAGACTTGTGTTCCTGGGTGGGGACAGGAGGAACAGGGGAGGGGCTGTGGGCCTAGTGACTTGTAGCTCTGAGTGAAATGGGGGGTGGGGATGTCAGGATCGAGTGTGACTCCTGCCCGTGGTCCTTCAGGAACCTCTAGATGGGGGTCAAGAGACTACAAAGGACTGGAGATGGAGTGGGAGAGGTGTGGGGCCGGGGAATAAACACCCCCGGCATGCTTAGGGGCTGGTGCTCAGGCCAGGAGGCCAGAGTCTGGGGGCCTTTGTAGTCCCTCCCTTTCAGGAAGCCTGCCGTGTGCCACTCTATGCTTGCCCACATACTTATGTCCTCCACCAGTGCCTCTGCTTCCTACCCATTTACATGCCATGTAGATTTGGTGGGGAGGACTCGGCTACATTCCTCACCAAGGGGATGGGCAGGAACAAGGGCAGGGACAGGTCACTACATATCCCCTGAGTGAAGGGCAGGGACGGGTCACTACATATCCCCTGAGTGAAAAGAGTGGCAAGACTGAATCAGGTGTCTTTGGTGCTCGGCAGCATGCCCTTCCCTGACAACCCCTCCCCATCAGTCCCCTGAGAACTGTTGGCAGGGTCTGGGTCCCAGGGAAATCATGTCCCAGTTTTACTAAGTGTCCCAGCTAAGTGACTAATTAAGTGGTGGAAATGGGGCCATGCAGTCTCCTTAGATCCAGATCCCTACCTGTCTCGTCGACACCACAGTGTACTTTGAGGGTGCTGGCTGCTGCCCCTGTACACAATGATAGGTGTCATGGAGTCTCCGGTCAGATACAGTCAGGGCCTATTCTGTCTAGCTCAGGACAACCTAGGGCCTAGAGGTTCTCAGCCTCCGGTGTCAGGGTGCTTGAGTTCAAGTAGAGGCTCTTTGGGGTAGGATTCTAGTTCATATCCTCTCCCTCTCCACCTCAGCCAGGCTCATCCTTGCTGTGTCCTCAAGGAAAGGAACCAAGACAGGTATTTAGCTTACAGAAAGGAAGGGCAGGAAGCCTAGAAGCTGGAACTCTGTCCAGAAGTTTCACAACTCCACATGTGAGCCCTCAGAAATGAAGGTTCTCTCCAGGAGCATAGCAACCTGAGGTCAGCCTGGGTTAAGTAGGAAGGCCCTATCTTTAAACAGGGAAGAAAAGAAAAAGTACCTTCAGGCCTTTTAACTCAGCTCCTCCGTGCTCCGAGAGCTCTGACCTGAAGATCTATCCCAACTGATACCCAGGTGAAGCTCCGTGGCTGAATGTGGTAGGGAGGCAAGGTGCAGACTCCATCGCTGAGGGTGAGCAGCCAAGCCTACATGGTGGGCAGGGAAGTGCAGGGCTAGGTGGGAGGAGTGAAGATACCAGGACGGGAAGCTGAGGCTGTGGGGGTTTCATAGTGTCCCAGCCACAGAGATGAGCCTCGCACATGGACCTTCTAGCACTGACCTGCCCTTTCCCCTGCAGTACGTGGTCATCCCCACTCGACGAGCCACTGCTGTGGCCTTGCAGAGCTTCACTTCCCATCTTCTGGGGGATGCTGGAAGCCCCTACCTCATTGGCTTTGTGAGTGTCTGGGGGTGGGGCTTGCCTGGTGTGGGGCACAGAAGATAGTCCTGTCCTGACACCCATACCCCAATCTCCACAGATCTCGGACCTAATCCGCCAGAGCACCAAGGACTCCCCGCTCTGGGAGTTTCTGAGCCTGGGCTATGCCCTCATGCTGTGCCCTTTTGTCGTGGTCCTGGGTGGCATGTTCTTCCTTGCCACTGCTCTCTTCTTCCTCAGCGACCGCGCCAAGGCTGAGCAGCAGTGAGTAGGGTTGGGGTGGGCATGCTGTGAAGCAGGGACTGACAGCTTTTACCCTAGTGTGGAGGAGGTAGTGAGTTACTTTGTACCTCTAGGGCTAGGTGACCTGCTGGAGGCCAGGGCCAGCTCTAGAACACTTGGCTCCAAGTCTTCCCATGCTAGTATGTTGTAGGCCCACCCCACTGTGGCCCAGTCTAGTAGATGCCAGGCTCTTTTGTGAGTTCTAGACATGGGCTTTTCGCTGGACTTTCTCTCAGGGTTTTAGAGATGGGAGACCCATCCCCTTCTCTCACTTTCTGACTTCTTTCTCCTCTTTTCTCTATTCCTTTCTCTCTCTTCTCCCTACCCCTGGGCCTTCCCACCTCCCCCTGGGGCTGACGAGGTCCCTGCCCAGCGCCTCCGGTCTACCGGCCCCAGTGATTCGATGTGCCAGAGCCGTGCCTGGGCCCAGTCCCCGCTGATGTGCCACCCTGACCCCCGCCCGTCTCTCCCTCAGGGTGAACCAGCTGGTGATACCGCCTGCATCCGTGAAAGTCTGAGGTGGTGAGTGCAGGCCAAGAAACTCCTGTGGGAGGAGTGGCCCTGAAGGAACAGGGAACAAAACACCTTCCAAACCATCTCCTCCCCTAGCACATCTCCTCTGCCTGGGTCTGCCCTCTTCCTCTGAAATGTTGACATGGAATCTGTGGATTTGTGGGAGCTGGTTTCTTCCAGTAAATCAGTGCCCTCCCCTCCCTGGAAGGGCCAGGAGCATAGGTCAGCACTGGAACTTGCCAGGTCCTGCTGTCCTCCTAAATCCTCCTAGATGTGTCGGGGGTAGCTCCCACTCTGGCCTTCCCAGTGGCCTAGCCCTTGGAAGCTTTAGCTTCCTGGTAATGTTAAACCAGGGTCAGGGCCCCAAGGTCATAGCAATGGTGAAAGCCGAGGAAACCAGCTTTGGAACAATTCCCAAAGCTCCACCTCTGACTCGACACCCTTCCCACAGGTGCCGCTGGGACAGCAACGAACTGCAGTTTAGATTGGGAGAGGTTCTCCAGCATCCTGGACCTGCAGGACGGTCCCAAAGTTTCCTGTGTGACTCACAGTTGGGTACCCACCCTCTTTGGCCTAGGATTGCCAGGACTGAGTGGCCCTATCTTCAAGAAGATGCTCCATCCTCAGTTAACATGGAAGGCTGTGTGTGCTGGAATCACTCAGTTGGACACAACTCCAGCCCTGGTTGGGGGCTGAAAGGACAAGATAGAAGCCACCCTGCAGAGGGTATCTGGGGAGATTCTGGCTTGCCCTTAGCTCATGTGATCTTGAGGGAGCCACTATCCTCCCTAGACAGTGGAACCAAGGAGCTGGAGCTTCCTCCCTTGTGTGCCATGCAAGGCACCCTCCACAGCTTTGAAGAAACAGGTCCTGGGCTATACACAGAGGACATGGCTCAGGTTTCAGGACCTCCATTCCGGTTCTGAGGTCCGCTAAAGGCCCTGGTGTATGGGAACCATTTCCCCACTCTTAGGCTCTAACCTTGGGAACAGCAAATTCAGCCTGGCACATGTAGCTGAGTACCCACTTCTGGGTGTCCATGGCTGGGACAGTTTCCCAGGAGGATACTGTCTCTGCTGTCTTCAGCTAGTTCTTTGCCTGGAGGTTTTTCTCAGGTGGAACCACCCCCTTAAAGGAAGCTGCAGCACTAGAGGGTGAAGGCCCTGTGGTAGGCTGACAATTGGACAACCATTTTTCCTCACCCTAGCCCTCCAAATCCTACAGTCCCCTGGAAGCCACCTCCTCCTACAGGATGACCCTTTCCAATGAGGGGCCAGATAGGATGCTAAAGGATTTACCCAGCTGTCCACACTACTTTTTGGCCTAGGGTATGAAACTGCTGGAGATTTCCCACCAGTGCCTGTAGGTATCATACCCCAACTGACTCTCTTGGGGCCAGGCCTTCACCCCAGCCTTTGATCACACTATCCCCACACATATAAACCCCTCACTCCCCTGCAGCCACCTTAGTCACCTTTGGGCACTTATCCCCAGCTTTACACTCCTTGCACGCTGTAAACAAGGTGGCTCTGGTTCTGGGGTACCATTGTAACTTACGAGAAACTTCCTGAACCAGCTTGGACAACAGTCCCTGTGGCTGTATCCCATTTGCTGTGGCTTCAGTGGTGTTAGTGGTAACTGCCCAACCAAGCTCTGGGGCACTCTGGGGGTTTGGACGTGGGTTTGCAGAGGGTGCTATCCCTAAAGACCAGCCTGGCTCCCACCCTAACCCCAGCAGGGGCCCTAGCAATGTTTTCTTGTTGTACAAGAACCAGGTCCAAGTGTTGCCTCCTCTTCCTTCCGGAAGCTGAACTGCTCCTTTATTTTTTAGAGCTGCTGATTGTGAATCTCAAAGTCTTAAGAGAGAGAAGCCAAATATATATTCCTCTTGTAAATGAAGAAATAAACCTATTTAAATGTTTTGGTGGCTCTCCAGTGGAACAACCTGGGGAGGGGCAGGACTGTAGCACATGGGCCCCATCCCTGGAAAGTTGATAAAAGACCCACTCCTCAAAGTCAGAGACTGGTGTTATATATCATGGCTTGTTTATTAAAATATTGGTGAAAAAATAGGAGTCTCTAGGGCTGCTGCAGGCAGGGAAACAGCACACACACACTCAAGGTGTCTGCACTCTCCTCCTGACCGCTCTCCTTTTCCTGACCCCACTCTGTAACAGGCTGGGACTCCTGCTCACCAGAGACAGCCGTGCCCTTTTCTTTGGCAGGGCAGACTGGGGGGACTTTTTTATGACCTCCTTTGTGCTGAGAGTCTTCTGATGTTGTTTTTTGCTCTCAGGCTCTATAGGGGACACAGGAGTGGCTCCGTTTACTTGTGACAGCTTCTCTTTTTTCTTTTGCAGTTTTGGGGTCTTGGCAGGGGTGCTGGGGCTTAGAGTGGGGTTATTGGGAGCTGGACTCTTGGCTACTGTTATCCCATTCATCTGGGATGGGGTGCTGGCCTTCACCCTCTTCCTTTTCTTCTTGCCTGTGCTGGGGGGCTGGTCTTTACCAGTGGCAGCAGGCATGGCACCCTCTGTCACTGAATCCTGCTGGGATGCAGCATTCTTTTCTGGTGTGACGCCCTCAGATTTAAGTTTCTTTCGCTTCTTGGTCTCTGGCAAGAATCCCTTTTTCTTCCGCTTTGTGCTAATGGGGCTCTGGGTGTCACTAGGAACATCCTTGGCATTCTTCTTTTCTGACTTTGGACGCCTGTAAGGAAGAAGGATACAGAGTATTGAGTGTGAGTGTGCAGTATTGGTCAGAGGGAGGGTCCTTTTAGCCACATCCCCAATGCTGGTCCCTCTCCCAGAACATACTGGACTCCTAGCATCCTCATGGCCTGCCAGTAGAGATCGTAGAGGCGATTGGAGCCAGATGAGTGATTCCCCTGCTGCAGGCTTTGCTGCAGCCTCTGCTGCCTGCTCTGAAGCACCCCCAAGAAAGCAGTGAGGTCCACAGAGAGCTTCTGCAAGGGAAAGGCAGGCTGGAGTAGCAGTGGCAGCGACAAGGCCTCTCGCCACCATTCGGGTCTTTCCACTGGCTCCTGGGTCTTCTCCTAAGTCACTAGGTCCCTCAGTTGTAGAGGAAACAAGGGGCCCTAGCACTGTTTCCCTTTCCACAGCCAGGGGCCTGGGTCTCTGCTTCTGTAGTTCCTCAGTCACCTGCAGCGTGGTCCCAGACTAGGGAACCCAACTGCCCAGCCCGAGGCCCTTGCCCCTCTATTCTGAGCCTAGAAACCTGCCCTCATCTCTAGCTCCTCCCACTGATCACTACCATCTCTGTTTTCTTTCTGGCACACAGTGACACAGCCTCCCTCCCAATCTACCAGGTCCAGTAGCATTTAATCTCGTAAAAGGCTAGATTCCTCCCCTTGGAACCTCCATGTGGCTCCCAGGCCACACACCTCTGGTGATTTTCCCCCTGGAGGACTACTGTCAGAACCCTGAGACGCTGTCCATTCCACCCAGGGCACTGATTCTTGGGCAGCTGGCTTACCTCGTGATTGACTGTCCTGAAGAGAGTGTTCAGCAGCTCTAAGATGGATAGCTCCCTCTGGTGCTCCCCCTTGCTCTGTGCCTCTCCAAGAGTCTGCAGGGTCTACAGAGGAAGGCCAACACTAAGGCACTCCTGAAACTAGGCCAAGGCCTTTCTACATCCTACACATAACGGGGGGTGGGGTGGGGGGGGGAAGAGGAGGTTCATGGGTGGGGGGCTTCACAGCTGTTACCTGGGTGGCTTTTCCCAAGAGTTGGCTAATCAGCTGCTCCCACTCAGGATCCTCAAAACATACTCTCAGCTCCCGTGCAGACAAGGTCTTCTGGAGCAGCAGGCATGCCTGGGCCTGCATCAAGGAGAATGTAGTCAGCAGGAACCCCAGTATGTCAGGAACCCCACACAAACTTAGAGGAGCCTGCCTGTGCTAGGCCTACAATCATCAATTTCTCTAAGTGGGAAAAGGGCTACCAAGGCCTGGAGAGGCAGTGGTCCCAACTGGATAGAAGCAAGATCAACCTTGTGTTGATCTCCCTCTAGCCTGCCCGACAGCCCTGGCATCTAAGTTGACAAGGGATGACCTCTTGTGTAGGCCAGAGATAAAGTCTCAGCAAGCTGGAGGCCTTGGGCCAGACAGCAAGGTTCCTTCAGTTCCTCTGTGCCTATTGTGAGTTACAGCACGATCACAGACAAGGTCAGTTAATAAGCAGCTCCTCCTAGGCTTAAGTGAGAAGACTGTACATGTGTTTCTGACAAACCCTTACCTGATGTCGGGGCCGAGATGGGCCAGTCATATGCTGGACCAGGATGGGGAGCAGATTCTTAGAGATCACCTAGGGATTGGGGAAGGACAAGAGGCCATTAGCTGGTGACTGGGCTGGACAGAGTTCCCAATAGGCAGGCTGGCTCCTGTACTTACCGGGTATCGGGAGAAGAGGCTAAGGAACATGGGGACTGTGAGTGGGCTGTTACGCTTGGTCAGGAGAGATTCCAATGATGCTGAATACACCCGGGTCACAAAGTCCAAGTTCAAGCAACTAGCAGTCTGGTCCTGATGAAGAGAGCTGGGGTCAGACTGGGAGCAGGGAGAAGGCTGAGGGAGAGTCCTGGGCAACGGCTGGCCCTGGCTCACCTCTGAGTCCTTGGGCTCAGGCTCGGTGTCAGCTCCCTGTAAATTCTGACCATCTTGGTGCTTCTTTGTGGTGTTACCCTTGAGGACTCGCAGCAAGTACAGAGAGGCATTGAAGTAGTAAAGGGCGACAGAGGCATCAGCCTGGCTGCCAGCCTGCTGTACAAGCCTTTCCACCTGGGCATGCAGAGCCTCTGCACAGGGCTCCACCTCGTGGCAGTAGCGGCGGGCACGACACAGATGGTGCCTATGGGCAGGAAAGGCAAAGCTGGTCAAAAGGTGTTTCTCTACTTTGCTCTGTCATGCACAGTAAGAAGAGCAGTCCCATTGCATAGGTTAGGAAACCAACTTAGAGATAGATGGACAGAAACTTGATGCCTCTGAACTGCCCCACCTCTCCTATGTGTATGTCTTGTGGGATAGTGGCCTCTGACCTCTGTAAAGACAGATGAAGTTCTACATCCTCAGAGATGGGAACAGAGTGGGCTTGTCAGAATTCCCAACTATTCTAACACCGATGGCTGGGATGGGACCAGAGCTTGAGGACCCCTACTCTACTTGGGAGGCCCCTGTTCCCCGGGGTAACGCGTGTGCACTCACATGAAGATGCGGGCGGTCTTGTGCAGGAGGTCCTGCTCCTGCTTGGTGGAGCCTCTGCTGCGCATGCTGTGCTGGATCATGTTCAGCAGTGGTTCAAGCAGCTCCAGGATCAGGGGGTGCTCGGGCTGCTTGCTCACCAGCACCTCGATCAGGTCTAGTACCTGTGGCCAAAAGGCTGAGTAAGCCCATGCAGAACATGAGAGGCAAGAGCAGCTCAGGGCGCCTGGCAACTACCTGCACACTCACCCTGATCTGAAAGTCCCGTCGGAGCTTCTTCTCCTTCTCCAGCTTGTTTTTCTCCTCATGCCGGGCCTGGATACGCATCTTCTGCTCTGCAAATAGGCTGGCCAGGTTCTGGTCCAGGGCCATCATGGCCTCATCCCCAAGTTCCTCATCCTCATCCTCGTCCACTCCACCCTGAGGCAGAGAAGCACAGCCATCAGCCTACCCGTAAGTGGGTAGACAAACCCCCTAACCCCCTCTCCCCCCTGGGTCCTGCTCACCAGGGCATTCCCAGCTTGCAACACTTCCATCAGCTGTTGACGGAAGCCTGGGTCCACATCCTTATCACGGTCTTCCTCTCCACTTTCTTCCCCATCATCACTGTCCACGTCACTCTCTGAGTTCTTATTGTCTTCACCATCTGAGTCCTCATCCTATGGGTGGGAAGAGTTAAGACACCTTTTTGATGACACCATGACTCTCTTGCCACCTGCCCTACCTTGCACCCGATGGGTAAGTACCTCTCCATGCTTCAGCTGCTTCTCATCAGCATCATCAGTGACCACCACGTTGTCATCCTCATCCTCGTGTGTCTCAGGGTTGAGTACCTGAGGATAAGTCCCAGACCACCACTGTACTTGTTGCCCTGACTTCATACTCTCCTTAGGTCACCCCTGCAAGTCTCTTCTATGTTGGTCAAAGGCCCCCACCACCCCAGGGAGGAAAAGAGGAGTGTCCTTTGAAGAGGCTGTGGGGATGGCCTGGGGAGGGTGGCATGCAGCACTTTGATGCTGCAGAGGTATAGAAGATGAAGACGTCACACACTCCCACTACATCTCAGTGCACCCATCTTCTCATCTATTTCTCCAAAGGCCCCAACTCACAGCCAGGATCAGCTGCAGACCACGTGGAGTAAGGTGGGAACAAATATGACCAAATACACTCCGGACCACCTGGCGCATCAAGTTGCTGGGCTGAGCCAGCAAGGACAGCAAGATCTCCACCATCACCTCCACCCACACTGGCTCCGGGGAGGCTACAAGAGGGAAAGCAGATTGAGGCTTAACAGGATACAGATACCCTGGTTACCCAACCTGGGCAGGGGCAAGGACATACCTTTGGCTCTGGAGCGTGATCGGCGGGGATTCTGCTCCATGCTTTTCTTGATACAAGTCTGAATGTCTCCTAGAACATCACAGCTTTCTGCAGGGGACTATGGGAAGAACAAAGCAGATATCAGAGAGGAACTAAAACCAGAGTCCTTAGGTATGTCTGGCAGATCACCCATACCATTCAAAATGTGTACCCCAAGAGCCTTTTCACAACCTGTGTGTAGTAATGAGACTACAGAGCCTAAGTTCCCTAGGAACACCCAGGGCTACAGGACTAGCAAATCCCAACCCCACAATGTTGGGCTAACCTTGTATTCATTCACAAAATAAATCTGTTAGTTGATAAACAGAGAGGGACACAGTGTG